TTGGACTGTGAGGATAGTCAGGAAACATTACATAATTATAAAGACCTGAAAATTTTAGAGGGGAGACCCAACTTGCTTTGGATAGTGGCCCAAAGCTAGACAGTGTTTCCAGAGCAGGTTAGAGAGGTTTAGTGTCAAGGCCAGAATAGAGTTATTTCAGTAAAACTTATGTAGTTCCAACAACAGGTACAAAGCAGGGCAGGTTTCCAGCACACAGGCAAGACAAGCATGGCTGGATATAGCAGCTGAATATTGTGAAACACCTGAGCTAATTCCTAAAGAGATTATTCTTTCTATCTCATCTACTCTTTGACCAAGATAGAACCATTTTATTTATTTATTTTTCAATTACAGTTAGGACAATTTTTGGTCCTTTTAAAATTTATTTTTTAACCTTTAGTTTCTTTTTTTATAAGGTATTATATGTGTACATATCTTATCATTGCCCCCCCCCACTCCACTCCCTTACATGCCCTCACCCCCCAGTGTTTTGCATCCATTGGTTATGCTTATATGCATGTATACAAGTCCTTCGGTTGATCTCTTATCTCCCCCACCTCTCCCTAACCTTCCTGCTGTAATTTGACAGTTTGATGCTTTACTGCCTATCTCTTTTGTTCATCATTTTATAATGTTTAGAGCCTTTAGTTTCAATAATAATGTGTAACCAGGACTGAATTAAAGTACATAGGGCTTATAATTTTGTCTCCACTCTGCTCTTTTGATTATAATATTGCATGTGTCTTACCTATTAACATCCAGTTAATGTATTCTGCAACTGAGCTCCAGAAAACAGTTATGTTTTCCTCCTGGGGAAGCCACTGCTCCCCACCTGGAATCCATCTCCTGTTTTGTCAACAACCCTACTTCTGCTTAGATATGGAACCAAAATATGCTCAGGGAATGTGGGTCCATCTTCAGGAGAAAAATCATAGTTGGCCTAAGCCGTTCTTGCTTGACTCATTCTCCTCTGCAGTGACTGTTTAGGCATGGGCTGTCCAATAAGCCACGAAGGGAAGTATATTTGGGCTTCTTTGGTTCTTTTTTCTGGTAAAAAGAAAGAAATTCATGAGGCAAAACTTACTGCTTATACAAGGTGATTGTGTAGGATGTGCTGATTGAGGGTAAATGCCAACATTCTGAGGATGGCAAATGGAAATATATGATAGAAAGCCCTTGGGATTTTGATGAACTGCTGCGAAGCCAAATGAGCCAGCTCTGGTAAACCTCCAGACTTCTGTGACAGATAATAACCCCTATTGAATAACCACTTTCAGTAGGATGCTTTGAAAGCATCGTCATCCCTCCAGCTGGATGGAAATACATGCACCCTTAGACTATATTTAACACAGGTGGCACATGTGGGTGTGAAGAAGCACAGTCTATGAAATGAAGTGTTCCCCACTTTCCTTTTTGGCAAGTAGGGTCTTTACTGTGCTCCAGCCCAAGGCTTCCTGTCAAGTGAGGGGCTGACCATGTCTGGGACCACAGACAAGTACTGTCAGTGTATATGGTAAAATACACATAATATAAAGTTTATTATTTTAACCATTATTAAAGGTGCAATTCAGGGGAATTAAATACATTCACAATACTGTTTTACCACCACATCTATCTACTTCCAAAACTTTTTCATCTTCCCCCACAAAATCTCTATACCCATTAAATAAGTTTCCCATCCCCTCTTCCTCTCAGTCCTGGTAACTTCTATTCTACTTTCTGTCAGCATGAATTTGCCTATTCTTGGTAGCTCATATAAGTTTAATCATACAATATTTGTCATTTTGTGACTGACTTATTTCTCTTTGCATAATGTTTTTCAAGATTCATCCATGTTTATGCAATGTGTCAGTACGACATTCTTATATTTATGGCTGAATAATGTCCCGCTGTGTGTATAGATCACATTTTGTTCATTCACCTATCGGTGCTTTGAGTTGTTTCCATCTTTTAGCTATTGTGGACAATGTTACTATGAGCACTGGCATATAAGTATCTGTCCAGTGCCAGCTTTCAATTCTTTCGGATATACAGGAGTGAGCAAAAGTAGGCATGTTTTTTCCCCCTCAAATCACCCTCATCTCCCATTTATCTTTTTTTGTGTGTGTGCCACTCCCTCCTGGGTCCTCTAGCTTGATTTTTATGGAGCTGGGGATTCCCACAGGGATTCCGTGAAGATGAGGGCACAGGGCCGGGGTTGAGTGTGGCGGCCTTTAGGAAGTCGGATACAGAAAAGCGGGGAGAGACAGAGGGCTGCAACTGCCGGGCGCTGAAAAGTAGAAACTGGGCCAGGAGAGGGTGGCAGGTGAGAGGACCAACCTTCAGACTATTGGCGTCAGACAGGCTCCTAGATGAGGGAGTCAAGCACTTAGCAGCAGGTCACCATGGCAACCGTGAGATCTCGCGAGACAGACATCGCGTCTGCGCAGTGCTGCTGCAGGGCCCTCTGGAGCCTCCCACCCCACCAGAACCTCTAACTCCATGTGTTTGCAGCCTTGTCCGCTCTCCGTACCGCTTCGGCCGCGGGTGGCAGTGAGCCGACATTTCCTGTTGTAAGTGAGATAACGCGGAATGATGGAGAGTGATTCAGGGAGCGTTTGGAAGGCGGAGCGGGGAGGGCGAGGGCTGTGCGCACGCGCACGGCGGCTCACGCGGAGCCGGCGCTGCCGCGCGCGGGAGAGGGAGCGGGCGCCGCGGGCCGAGTCGGGGCTGGGGCTCGCGGGGTGCGGGCTGGAAGGCACGCAGGGTCTCCAGGGCTTGCCCTTGGCCCCGCCTGGCCGCCCTGCCCAGCTGTCCCGGCCTCGGGCTTGGCTCCCGCTCCGTGCTCGGCCCGGTGTTGAGTGTCTTGGGTACGAGAACTGTAAGATACAGCCTCCCTCTGGCCTTACAGTACCCCCAGCCTGGACCACAAAATAACCACAATCGGGTATGCTAAGTGGTAAAGTACTGCAGGCTCTGGGCACCAGGGAGGGATTAACTCTGGGCCTGGCCTTCCCTCCTCCGCAGGATCTAGAAGCCAGGAGGCCTCCCCGCGGCCATCCTCTGCTTGACTCCAGGTTGATCACTGTTTGGTAGATTTCACCTCTTAGCTCTTAATTAGCACGTCTTTCTGCCCATGCCCTCTGCAGCTGCTCATCTGCAGGCCACCATCATTTATTTATTTTAAATATATTTTTATTGTTTTCAGAGAGGAAGAGACAGAGAAGCATCAATGATGAATCACTGATGGGCTGCCTCCTCACACCCCTCACTGGGGATGGGGCCCGCATCCCGGGGAAGGAGCCCTTCAGTCCACTGGCCGGCACTCTGACCACTGAGCCAGCCAGGTGGGGCCCACCATCGTTTTTCACTAGGACTTCTCCGGGAGCCTCTTTACTGCTTCCAGTCTTGGCAAAAGACCCTTATACACCCCAATCCACAAAGGTCTTTCTGCAGTGCTTGTCTGTTCCTGCCACTCCTCTGCTTTAAGGAGACAGAGCGCTTCCCACTGTAAGGCCTTCGAGGACCTTCACCGTCTGGTCCTTACCCACCTTTCCTAGTATCTCACTCCTCTCTCTAGCATCTGCCCCAGTGACATTTACTTATCTCCTTTAATGCTCTTCCTTGGTTCTCCCTTTGGTAGGCCTTCTTCACGTATTTAGTCAAAGGGTCACTTCTTCCAGGAGGCCCTTCAACTTCTGTTTGCTTAAAATCCTGTTGTTCCCTGATCTGAATGTCTTACTGTATTATCTGCTGATATGTCTTCCTCATAGATTCTAAGCTCAGTGAGGCCAGTGACTTTTTCTGTACTACTACTGTGGGTAATCCAGAAGTACTTGAAGTAAAAAAGGGGGCTGTCAGGCAGAGGAAATAATGTGCATAAAGACATGGAGAGGAGAAGCTGATGACCTCATGAAGTAGCATGTGGTCCAGTGGCGGGATGTAATGTGTGATGAGACACAAAGAGAAAGGTTGGTGGGGAGATGGGGCCAGTGTGTGTGTGTGGAGGGGGCCGTAAAGAGTTTGCACTTGATCCTATAGAGGCAGTAGAAGCCTCCAGTTAGCTCCATAGGCACCTCACAAGGGCTTTGTATTTTTCTCCTCCAAACCTGTTCTCTTTACCAGTGAGTCATTCTGCATTATAGGGCTTATCTGAACTTGGTTCTCATCTCCCCCACCAGATTCTGAAGGCAGAAGGAGTAATGCATATTTTGCTGTCTCTCCAGAGCACGTTTCTGTAAGTATTTATTCTGTGTTTCATTGTTGATACATTAACTGACTTGCAGTTGGGCAGGAGCTCTGTTAGATCATTTTTGTCTTGTCTTCCTGTCCACCTCCGACCTGCTACCAGCATAGGATCTGAATGAGCTACTTCCCAGTTCTCTGAGCATGAGTGGAGCATGTAGAGAATGGGGGTAGAGGCGGGCTGTGCAGTGTGGTTGGTTTGAAGACTGCAGATAGTAGTCTCTAGCAGTGGACATGATACTGATATGAATGAGATCTGGCCACTCACCCCATGGAACTGTGGAGACCAGGAGGAGGTCAGGAGACCATTTTTAGAGCTATCCAATGTGGATAGGTCTCCTGTCCTACATCTGTGGTTCCTAATTACAGTTCTGTATCATGTTCACACAGCCAACTTTTTACAAGTCCAAATGTATCAGCTTTATTCTCAAACTCCAATTGAGTAGATTGAGTCATGGACCAACCATCTCTGTTTTAAAGGCCACAGATTATGTTTGAACTGCAGCCAGGATTGGGAGAGCATGAAATTTAGATTTGGAAACCTGCTGTGACTTCAAGCAAGGTGTTTGACCCGAGTCTGTTTCCTCATCGACATGCTGGGCAATTATACAGGCAATTTGTGAGACTCAAGTTAACACATGGAGAAAGTACCTTAAAATTCTGACATTCCACAGACACTTGCTTGTCAACATCAGTAGACAGCCCAGTAAGTAGGAGTTCAATTGGAGAGGACTTAATTCTTAATCCTGCACGGAGTGTTTCAGGGAGGGCAGGCCTCAGTGGTATAAATGAGGGAATATCTGGAATGAGAAAATCTGGTTACCTGAAAGTAGGGATAGTTCCAAACTCCAGATGTCTCCACAGCTGGCTTCACTTCCTTGAATTTTGTCACGTGGGTCCCTAAGGTTGTTACCTGAGCTCCAGAAAGAATGTGAGGAAGAAAACTGAGTGAAGAGAAAGGAATATGCAGTTGTCTCTGGGAAGGAGAAACACGATATACTCCCTAGTGGTTTTTTTGTTTTGTTTTGTTTATTGATTTCAAAGGGAGAGATAGAAACCTTGATGAGAGAAAAATTAATATTGACCACTGCCTCTTACAGGACCCCTGCTGAGGATTGAACAGGAGACCTCTTGGTGTATGGGTCAATGCTCAACCACTGGGCCACACTGGCTGGACTAGACTAGTGTTTTATAACATTTCCCCAATAAGGCTCCTTCTGGTTATTTTTCCCTAAGGGATTAGTGTCTTTAAATTTCAGTACAAAATCTTGCTAGTTTTCATCAAATTGCCAGCTGGAGGAGTTGGCTTGGAATAACTGTAGGAAGGGGGACTGTCTACTTGCATGTGTATCAAATGTTTAGGGAGAATATACAAGAAGCTCAGAGTCCAGGGAGGAAGACTTAATAAGAGGCATAAAATGAAAGTATCATTTGAATTTTTAATCATGTGCACATGTTACTATTGCAGTTGTTTAAAAAAATCATATGTAGTTAATCATAAATGGCAGAAGCTTTCAGGGCCCTCACAGATTGTGAGCTCCAAAAGGACTTATGTGGGTGGATGTGGGGTCTTGTTCACACTGAACCCCAGGGCCTAGAACACTGACTGCACATTTGGAGGTGCTTAGTGAATATTTGCTGAATGGATGAATGAAAACCTAACTAGAGAGGAATTTACAGAATGGTAACAAATCTATGAGATTAATATCATACAGCCATTAAGAGGATAACCGTTAATTCTGAACAAGAACATTTTTTATTGATTTTTAAATAATATTTTTATTGATTTTTATGAGAGGAAGGGGGGGGAGAGAAACATCCATGTGAAAGCGAAACATTGATTGGCTGCCTCCTGCATACCCCCTTCTGAGGATTGAGCCCACAACCCTTGGTGCATGGCACAATACCCAAGCAATTGAGCCACACGGGTCAGGGCAACATGAAACATTTTTAATAAACTAAATAAATAGAAGTTCACTGTGATTGCAATAATGCAAAACATTCATATATGGCCTACATATGAATAAAAACAAAGTCATGGAAAAAATGGGGAAAATAAATTACTGAATCTTAAAAGAGAGGTCAAGTGTATGGTCACATAATTGGTCCTCTATGATTAGGCCTGCTGTAGCCTGTAAAGAATCAGAACAAGTATAACCAGGATATTCTTAAGACCTGCACTGCTAGTTAACAGTTTTCCTTTGTTGTTTTGCTTCTCAGTGAAAGATTTTTTATAATGGCTGCAGCTCCTCAGGCACCAGCGAGGGGCTCGGTTCGGAAGACAAGACCTTTAACTGTGAAGACATCATTGAACAACCCGTATACTATCTGCTGGAGTGCTCTGGATCGAGAGGATTTGCACTTCATCTTACAGACACTTGAAGACAGATTTAAATCAATTGGACTTGAGAAAGTTGAGAATAAGAAAAGAAGTAAAAAGCAGTTTTTTAAAAAAGGCAGAGACAAATGTAGCATAGATGTCCATATGAGTGAGGATCTGAAGGAGAAAAAAACAGAAGATAAGGAACAAGTATCAGGGTGGACTTCTGTCCATGTGAGGAAGCAGCTTGCCATTGGCGTTAATGAAGTCACCAGGGCTCTGGAAAGGAACGAACTGCTTTTGGTTCTAGTGTGTAAGTCAGTCAAGCCTGCAATCATCACCTCACACCTGATTCAGTTAAGTTTAAGCAGAACGGTTCCTGCTTGTCAGGTTCCCCGTCTCAGTGAGAGAATTGCGCCTGTCATTGGCTTAAAATGTGTCCTGGCTTTGGGATTCAAAAAGAACACCACTGACTTTGTCAATGAAGTGAAAGCTATAATCCCCAGAGTACCCACTTTAAATGTACCATGGCTCCAAGACAGACTTGAAGACTCCAGGGAAAATTCAGAGTCCGAATCTTTGGAAAGCCAAGGCAAAGAGATTTGGGACACTTCCTTTGAAGACCTCTCTAAACATAAGAGAAAGTTCACTGAAGGTCAGCAGGCTGCAGTGCTACAACCCCTTAAAATAAAGAAACTGATTCCAAACCCTAATAAAAAAAGGAAACCACCCAAAAGTAAAAAAATTACTTCGAAGTAATCATGTATAAACTTAACACTTCATACAATTGGAAAATGACACCTTGTAAAAGGAACCTTAAAGCTAATAAACTGAATTACTTTTACATAGATTTGTGGAAGTTTGTTTGGTAAATGTTCCTTTCAAATACGTAAGACTTTTTAGATAGCACATATATGCTGAAGCTTAAAAAACACTAAATGCAGGAAATATTCAGAAGTATGCATATCAAAAGTTTATTGACACTAATGTCCATGCTTGTATAGATTCACTTTTTTAAAGTTGGTACAATGCTGTGAGCAAAAACATCTGTATCCTACAGCACTTAACATCTTTCTCTCAAACTTGGAAATTGTACCACAGTAAACATGGTTCAAATTAGTAGAGTAGGTGAAACTGGATTGCAGATACACCATCAGTTTTAAAGGAAAGATACTAAATGCTAAGCAATACAACTGTCTTCAGAAACAATACATCAGGTTTTTATTTCCTTCTATTTTACTTTCTTTGGGTAGGTCTAAGCATTGGCTTGGGAGAAGGCTTGACACCTATAGGAAAAGCCAGATAAGGTCTTTTGACTAGAATTCACCCCTTTACATGGTTAACATTTCCTTGAAATTTAAAAATGTATAAAAAGTGATGGTAATTAGGTGAAATGAGGCAGGAAGAAAATAAAAAAAATGGAGCTTGGATTCTCAGAGGCAGGTCTGTACAATGATGGCATCCTTCATGTTAGGAAATGGAGCATAATCAGTACTCTATGGTTATGACAGTGTCTGCTACCTACAGTGTGTTTGGAAAAGTAACTTTTTCTAATTTAAGGGGAAGAGTGGCCAGAGTTTATTTTCAGCTTTGATTCGGTTTGATGCATGAATTATGCCTTCTCCACTCATTTAAATTTTACTGAATACTATCAGGGCAAAAAAAAAAAAAATCCCTTAAGAAATTGAGTATTTTTTTTATTGACAAAGAATGCTGGACAAATGTAGGTCTCTTGAATATGTAAAATACTACACTACACTGAAATTTAGTTCTAATAGCTACTTAAACACAGCAGTTTTACTGATTATTTTAAAATATTCATTGATAATCTTAAATTATAGAGGCAAATGTGCTATTTTTAAATGAGAAAAAAGATTTCTATAAAATTGAAATTTTAGCCCATGACAAAATTTTTGACTGGTAATTCTACAATTATTTGAAATGCAGAATTTTCTCTTTGTATGACTTTGCTATAAAAATGAATGGAACATAATTCCCAACTGTGCCTTGGCTTCAGATTAAGTTAAAATCTTTTATTTAATTCTGGTATCTCAAAAAAAGTTTCAGTGAATTGGTTCAGTTTTGCTTCTTGAAGTTTTCATCTCTTAAGGAAGATTAGTAATACCATTGGGTTGAATCATCTTAAGTAAGAACTCTTCCCTCTGTCTTCTAGAAAGTAACAGTTATCTAAGTACACTCTACTGAGGTGGCCATGCGCGCCCTCTACCGGTAGTCTCAAAGATACCACAAGCCCAGGGTTGGCCTGTTGGTTAATGGCAAGCTGCAGAAAGTAGCTTCCAGCTCCTTAATGTAAATCAGGATCAACAATTTTTCTTTCAGGGCCAGATAGCATATACGGTATGTTAGGCTGTTTGGTTCATACAATCTCTATTGAAACAAATCAAGTCTGTCCTTTCTAGCATGAAGCAGCCACAGGCAGTATGTAAGTGAATGGGGTTGGCTGTGTTCCAATAAATGTTATGGATGCTGAAATTTGAAATTCATACAATTTTCATGTCTAAAATGTTACTATTTTCCTCTAACCACTCAAAAATGTAAATACCATCCTTAGCTTAGGGTGTATAAAAACATATGATGGGCTGGATTAGGGTGATGGGCCATACTTGCTAGCCCCTGTGTGGTATAAGACTGGTTTCATTTGACTACTTATAACATGGAGAGAAAAAAAACCATCATATTGTTTAAAATAATTAAATTTTCTGGACAGAACAGCCTAGGCACTGGAAGAGGGAAGGCAGAAAAAAGTAACTACTTCGTGGAATGAGTCAAGGCCAGTTTATACGGCCTCATTTAGCATCTTTTTTCTCCTTGGACTATTGGCTATATATATATTACACTGTGAAACTTGTTTTTTAAAATTCTAGTTAAAAACACCATCAGTAACAAAAGTATGAATACTTATTTACAAATAAGACATTTTCTATTAGCATGACAGCTTTCATGATAAATTAAAGTCAGCATTAAGGAATTTGTGCAATTTTGCATAAGTAATAAAAACATTCAAACTATCAATATCCTGATAGCATTAATAAATTCCACTGGGCAGTTCCTTTGACTTTAGCACTTATATTTTCTTTTCCTCACATATCCTTGCTATTCCTGAAAAGAAACGAGTTTGTGCAGCAGCAGCAAAATCTAGTTAGTCATGGGTGCATATTACAGAGAGCACATTTCATGTTTGCACAGAACTTTCCTTTTGAACCCATCCACCAACCTGTTGAATATTAAAGTACAAATTTGTGTTTATTGATTTGGCAACTTTGCTTCTGAAGAAATAAATGTACTAGTCACCAGTACATTTTTATCTTGCTCTACACACAAACACCCACCACTCATCATTGAGTTGTGGAAGTGCGATTTCAGAAATGTCTCCAATGATAGCATGGAAGGTGATAGGAGGAAAAATTTTCCAATTGGATCTTTTATTCTGTTACATGGACAAAAAGACCATCACTTGATAAACAGAAATGCAGCAGTTTATCTCCACACATTAGCAAAGATTTTCTTACCCACTCTGACTTCAGTTCTGTCCATAAAAAAAAAGTCCCTTTTAGAGAATGGAAAAACACCTTTAAGAGACAGTCAAAAGTTTGAAAACTAGAGGAATGTGCTCTTTGTACCCTTTTATCCCTCTTTCAAATGGGTAAACAGTGAAAAAAAAGAAGAATGTTAACATTCTAGCTAGACATATGTAGTATTGGTCACATACGGATGTTTTTCATCTTTTCCAATTATTACTGACTGCATCGATTTCACTTAGGTTGTGCTTTTATTCTTTGGATTGACAGTTCCAGGAATCATTAAATAGAATATTAACAAATGATGGATGATATCAGAGTTCTAGGAATGGAAACATCCATCTACTGTAATACAAGTCCAACCTAAAGGAAGGGAAGAAATGGAATAGTAAGAACAGATAAGCAAAAGAGAAATCTATAATAATCTATAATAGTAAAAGCATAATATGCTAGTCAGACCGAACGTCCTTCTGGACAAACTTCCAGATATAGCCGGGACTGTGAGGGAAGTCCGGGTCTCGGGTGCCTGCCGGTGGCCAGAGGGAAGCTAGGTCCCAGGTGCCAGAGGGAAGCTTGGGTCCCAAGGGTGAGAGGGAAGCCGGTGCCAGCAGCCAGGGAAAGGGAGGCCTACTCTTGCACAAATTTCGTGCATTGGGCCTCAAGTTCTACTGTAGTACAAGAGAACTGTATTTTTTTAAAGCTACTAAAAAAATTAATAATTCTAAGGGAAGTATGGAATTTCCTAGATAAATATATTAAGTTTATAAAGCATATATCAACTTTTCTTACCTTTTCAGAATCTGTTCCTGGACACCTCCAATTGTACAAGTAATACTGTAAGTTACCATCTCCTATTCCAAACTTGAGTCTTTCCAAGAATGTCTTATTTTCCATCAAATCTAGTGCATTGAATACATCAAATCCTTTCTGCCAATGTAAAAAGGATTGAAAATTTCAAAAGACTAGAGTGTTTTCTGTATTATTTCAGCATAACATTGAATTCCTATAATAACCTGAATATGCACTTATAATAAGATTCAATGTCTGTAACATATATAATATAGGTTAAGAATTGAGTTATATATAACTAGCAGTGAATCTACCTTACATAACTAGCAGTGAATCTGATGAAGTCAGCTATCAAGCAATGCTGAATTAAAAACAGTGTACCGGCTAACAGTGACATAAAAAAATCTATTGAAAGTTCAGAAAATATTTGTTCCTGTTTTAGAAGGAACAGTCACCTAGATGGTTTCATCTCTAGAACTGGTCTAATTTAAATTGCAGCAATAATTTAAATTGTCCTAACTATGACACTGAATAAATAAAAATATGTATATATAATATAAGGCATATTTTGAATTTAATTCCTTTCATTTTAAAGTCCTTTAATTTTGCCCTAACTGGTTTGGGTCAGTGGATAGAGTGTCAGCCTGCAGACTAAGGGTTCCAGATTTGATTCCAGTCAAGGGCATATACCCTGGTTGTGGGCACATCTCCAATGGGGTAGGAGGGGTGTGCCAGAGGCAGCTGATCGATGATTCTAATTCTCTATCCCTCTCCCTCTCTGGTAAAAAAAAAAAAAAAAAATCAATAAAATATATTGAAAATAATAAGTCCTTTAATTTTAACAATAATCCCCTTTAAAAATAAAGTCCCTTTAATTTTAAAATTCAGAGACCATTTATTTAAATAAAAAAAACTGATTGATGCTAACTATTCACTACAAAGCAAACTTGTATTTCCTTTTATCATGGGATCATGTATTCATTTTATATTTCTTATGGGTTTTATGTACTCTTTTGTAAATGTTTAAAGTATCTACTTTATACAAAAAGACTTTTTGGTTAAGTAGCAATAGAATTATTGATGAAAATAGCCACTGATGTTTTACAGAAACTTATCAAAATTCTTTCTATGACTAATGATCAAAAGTAATAAACAAAGACTCAAATTAATTCCTTCTTTGTGAAAGAAAATACAGTAAGATGCTTTATGTACTTTGACACACATATTTGGAAAAACACAGGATAAAAAGGAATGAATTGCTTACCAATTTAGCTATAATGAGAGCATCATTCATGAGGTCTAACAGGGGCGTCTCTGTGTGAATGTTGTAGAAGGAGTAGGCAGCCTTGAGGCTCTTATGAGCAGGGTGGTGCATGACTGTGGAGGGGAGTGTGTAGAAGCTCAGGAAGTCAGTAAGTTTACCACTGGAGTTCTAAAGAACAAAGGTAGCATCAAGTAAGTATCTTCTATTATCCATGCATTTAAGCTAAGTTTTTTGATCTTTGACTTATTTTCTGTTAGAATAAAAGCAACAAGTCATACTTCTCCCTCAGCAGTCTGATATGGAGCCTTACAGAATATGTTCTGTAGAGGTCGAGAAGCGTTTGGGGTGTAACTTAGGCTAAATGCTAATTAATGATTTGCATAAATACCTTAACCAGTAGAAAGTTTTAAAAGGAAAGCTTTCCTTGGGATGATTACAGTCTCTCCAGACTTATGGAAAAGTAATCAAAATAAAATAATTGCTTTTACAGAACTAAGAGTGTTAAGGATTAGATGCTGCCTTTTCCAGCTAACAGACATTATATAATTTAACATCTTCTTGGCACAAGGGGAGAATTTTATTAGCTTAAAGCAAAGTTGGATAGAGTTTGGGATCTGTTTTTAGAAGCTTATGGAAGGTACTGGTATTATACCAAAATATACATATATAACAGAAAATCTAAAGCTATCAAAAATTAAAAGGGATATAATAGTGATATTTATTTCATTATCATTGGTATACTCTTTAATACAAGAAATTAGCTGGTGTCATTTGGGTTGTTTTAAGAGCTGTGATAACCTATGCAGTTTGCATATAATTCAAATGAAATGTTTGAATTACACAGCTGAGGAGGCTAGTTCACATGCATGCTATTGCTAGTATTTCTTTAAGCAGAAAAGATATTTCTATAGGGATGGAATTTCTCATCTTTGAGTTTTTCTGATTTATTAAACCATGTTTTAGACATCAAGAAGTTAGAGACATTAAGCTATTCTCTATTGTGTTGTATTAGCAGCTCAGTATTAGAGATGAATTAGAGACCTAAACTATCAGCGTTAATAAATACAGGCGGTCCTCAGGTTACATCAGACTCAATGTATGTCGTTTTGTGGTTATTTTGCCATCTCCCATTTACTTAAAAAAAAAAGTTCTGTCATTTCAACATATGTACATATGTATGAGCTTTATGTTTATTATTTATTTACCATAAGTAAAGGTCAGGAATTATTATCTTTCTTTTACATTTGTTTTACTGTTTCACTTCATTACTGCTGTGTATGTGCTCCATGTGAGTGACGTAGGTGCTTATATAGGTGGGTTCTTACGGTGAAAATCGTGTTATGTCGCGCCTAGGAACGGATCTCCGAAGTAACCCGAGGATCTACTGTATTTTCAACTTAAAAAGTAATTTAACAGAAAAAAAAATTTAAAAACCTTAATCGATGGCCTTAACAGTAGAGTGGAGATGACAGAGGACAGAATCACTGAACTTGAAGAATTCAGTAGAATAAATCCAATCTGAACAAAAATAAGAGAAAACAGACTAAAAAAAACCCCAAAAACATGAATTAAGTCTCAGGGATCTGTGGGACAGTAACAAAAGATCCAACATTCATATCGTTGAAATTCCAGAAGGAAAGGAAAAAGTGTGGAGCTGAAAGAGTATTTGAAGAAATAATTGCTAAAAACTCCCCAAATCTGATAAAATGCACACAACAAATTCAAGAAGCTGAGTGAGCCTTAACAGAATAAACTAAAAAAAAAAAAAAAAAAAAAAAAAAAAAATCCACTCCAAGATGCACTATAGTTGAAGTTCCAAAAACTAAAGACAAAGAAAAATCTTGAAAGTAGCCATAGAAACCAATGCATTACATATATATAACCAATTAGACTAACAGAAGATTTTGCATCTGAAATCATATAGGCCAGAAGGAAGTAATATTTTTTTTAAGTGCTGAAAGAAAAGAATCATCAAGGATGAAATCTATATCTGGTGAAACTATCTCTCAGGAATGAAGGGGAAATTATATTCTCAGACAAATGAAAACTAGAAGAATTTGTTGCTAGTAGAAATACCTTTAGGACTAGCCAAAAGAAATTCTTCAAGTAGAAAGGAAATAATAAGGAATCTCGGTGCATCAAGAAGGAAGAACAAACAACAGAAACACCAGAAATTCTGGTATACAGTTAAATCCTTGAACAAAATAGGAGTCCTTAACATTCTTATTTCTGTAAAAGCCGACTCCCTGGACAGTTGAAAACCTGCATATTACTTTTAACTTCCCCGAAACTTAACTAATAGCCTACTGGACATCTTACTAATAACATGAATAGTCAACCAACACATATTTTGTATGTTACATGTATTATATACCATATTCTTATTATAAAATCAGCTAGAAAAAATGTTATTAAAATCATAAGGAAGGAAAGTTATTTTGCCATCTCCCATTTACTTAATTTATATTACTGTACATATTTACTGAAAAAGTCTGTATATAAGTGGATCTACACAGTTCAAACTTGAGTTGTTCAAGGGTCAACTGTATACTATAAATTATGCTTCAACTTTTAAGTTTTATAAATTTACTTGATGATTGAAACAAAAGTTAAAATGCCATCTGATACTCAAGACATTGATAATTAAAAGTCAAGAATGTAAAGGGACCTAAATGAAAGTGAAGTCACTTGAAGTGGTAAAATGTTGATACCAATAGACTATGATCAGTCACACATGTATATTGTAATAGCCAGTGCAACCATCATGAAAACTATAAAAATACACTCAAATGTACTACAACTAAGTCAAGATAGAATCCTAAAAAGTTTTTCAAGCAATGCACAGGAAGGCAAAGAAAAACAAAGAGGAACAACACCAGAGGAAACAAATAGAAAGCATAATAAAATGGTACAGTTAAGTTCTAATCCTATCAAAGAGGGAATATGCTAATTGACCCTCACACCATCACAAAGATAGCAGTGCCCACAGCCATTAAGGAGGGAATGTGCTAATTGCCACATCCTCAAAGATGGCGGTGCCCACAGCCACAAGATGGCAGCGCTCAGTCACCTCATCCCCGCCGGGGTGGCAGGTGTGGCAAGGCCGGACCCACTCCCAGGTGGGCCCAGCTGTTTCGCACACCTGCCTCCAGAGACCCCCAGTCTCCTCAGTACTCTAGCTGCTCAGGGCTGGCATGAGGCACAGGCAAGCCGCCCAGGACTGCCTGAGGCTTGCACTGCCAGCATGGCAGCAGCAGAGGTGTAATGGGGTGTCGCCTTCCCCTGATCACTGATTGCCTCCTGCCCTTGAGGGCTCCCAGAATGTGAAAGGGGGCAGACCAGGCTAAGAGACACTGCCCCCTCCACCTTCAATGCATGAATTTTCATGCACCAGGCCTCTAGTGTATCAATAATTGTCAAATGTAAATGGCCTAATATACCAATTAAAAAATAAAAGATTGGCAGAGTGGACAAACATGGCCCCAACTACATGCTGTTTATAAGAAATTCACCGCAAATTCAATGACATAAATAGACTAAAAGTAAAAGGACTGCAAACATTAATTTTTAAAAAGAGTGGCGTCCATTTAGTGTGGCTCAGTGGTTGAATACTGGCCCATGAAACAGGATGTCATGGTTCAATTCCCAGTCAGGGCACATGCCTTGGTTGCAGGCTCAATCCCCAGTAAGGGGCATGCAGAAAGCAGCTGTTTGATGTTTCTCTTTCATCAATGTTTCTCTCTCTCTAAAATCAATAAAAAATGTATTAAAAAATTAAAAGTGATTATATTAATATCAAATAAAGTTACTTGAGAGCAAAGAAAATTACTAAAGAGGGGTATTACATGATGATAGAAAGATTGATTCTCTAAACACAAAGGTCCTAAATGTATAGGTACCAATAAGACCTTCCAAAACATCAAGAAAAAATGACATAGAACTGCAAGGAGAAATAGACAAACACAATTATAGTTGGGGACTTCACAGCCCCTCTCATCAACTAACAAAACTATTAGAAAGAAAATCAACAAGAATACAAAAAATCTGAATACATTTAACAGTATTTAATTGGTATACATGCCACCTAAAAGCAAGAGAATATACATTTCATAAACACATAGAACATTCACCAAGATAGACCACATGCGCCTAAAACCTAAAGAATCCTACCAGAGTTGAAACAATAAAGCGTGCTCTCCAATCATTATAGATTGAAACTAGGAATCAATTGGACTTCTCAAACACATAAAAATTAAACAACAGAATTTAAGTATATGGGTCAAAGACAAAGTCTCAAAGGAAATTAAAAAAACACACAACAGAATGAAAATGAAAATAGAATATACTAAAATATGTAGAATTAAGCTAAAGCAATACAGAGAGGGACATTTATAGAAATAAATATTTACATTGTAGCAGAGAAAGATCTCGATAATCTAAGTCCCTCCCTTGAGGTATGAGAAAAAGAAGAGCAAAATAAACTCAAAGCAAGCAAAAGGAAAGAAATAATCATAAAATCAGAAGTCAATGACATTGAAAATAGAGAAAAATCAATGAAACAAAAATCTGGTTCTCTGGAAAAAATAAAATTGATGCAATGCTAGTAAGACTGACAAAAATAAAGACAAAGAATGAATTATCAATAAAAGGAATGAAATAAGGTTTATCATTATAAATCCAGCAGTCATTAAAAGAATAACTAGGGCCTGGCCAGTGTGGCTCAAAGTATGTGCCCTGACAAGGAATCGCACCAGAAAGTCAAGGTTCGATTCCTGGTCAGGCTCTATCCTCAGTGAGGGGCATGGAGGAGACAGCTGATCAATGCTTGTCTCTCGTTCTTAATGTTTTTATTTCTCTTCCTTTCCTCTGAAATCGATATATATATTTTTTAAATTAAAGAAAAGAATAACAAGGAAGTGATTATGAACTTTATTCTTATAAATTTGAAAAATTTAGCCCTGACCATTGTGCTCTATTGGTTGGGCATCATCCAAACTGTACCAAAAGGTTGCAGTTGTTGGTTCGATTCCCAGTCATGACACATGCCTGGTTTGTGGGCTTGATCCCAGATAGGGGATGTGCAGGAGGTGGCAAATCAATGTTCTGCTCTCATATTCATGTTTCTCTCTCTCTCTCCTCCCTCTCTTAAAAAAAATCAATAAAAAATA